TGACTCAGAAACAGCACCTCAGAAACCACACTCTTCCTGAAATCCCATATTGATTCCACATCGATCCCATATAGACCCCACACCTATACCGGTCCGATCTAGAACTGTGTAGAACAGCCGAGTATGCCTGCACTGGGCAGACTTACCTTTAGTAAACTGCTAGCTTACAAACATGCTACCCTTTTGAGTGTGCCTGCACTCTTACTCTTGAGGGTACGCTTTTGCTCTACCTTCATTTCTCAGGTTTGTTCTTGAACGCTTTCCTGCAAAGAACTTCAGTACTTACTGGATTTTTCTGAAAATATAAGGATAAGGAGCTGCAAGTTATTACAGCAGTTAGGGCTCATTCCTAGCTTAAACTGACCCAAGTTCTATGGCCCCAGCCCCACATGGGCTCCTAAGCATTACTGGGGGCAGCCCAAGGTTCACCAGGGAAGCGCTGAGACCCCTAAGCATGGCTACAGTGGCCTGGGTAAGCCCCAGCACGGCAGAGCATGAGCAGCACAGCATCTTCGGGATGTGATGTCTTACATTGAACCCCCCACCCGATTTGCCGGGAAACACATGGTGGGGTCCCCCTGCCTCCCCAGCTCTGTGTGGAAGACCCAAAAATAAATACAAGGGGGGCTGGAGTGATAGCACAGCGGGTAGGGCATTTGCCTTGCACGCGGTCAACCCAGGTTCAATTCCCAGCTTCCCATATGGTCCCCTGAGCACCGCCAGGGGTGATTCCTGAATATAGAGCCAGGAGTAACCTCTGTGCATTGCCAGTGTGACCCAAAAAGCAAAAATAAATAAATAAACAAACACAAGGATCTGAGGAAAAATGTCTCAACTAAAAAATAAATGCCTTATAGCAGGTAGGGCACTGACCTTGCATATGGCAGGCTTGGGTTAAATCCCCAGCACCCTAAATGGTCCCCCCAAGCCCCACCGAATGATTCCTAAGCACAGACCCAAGAATCAGCCCTGAGCACTGCCAAATGTGCCCCCTCCCCACTCCCAAAAAAAGCACTTTAGCTGTGTCCTCCCATTGTTCATCAATTTGCTCAAGCAGGCCCAGTAACATCTCCACTTTGAGACTTGTTACTGTGTTTGGCATATTGAATACTTCACGGGTAGCTTGTCAGGCTTTACCATGCGGGCAAGATACTCTCAGTAGCTTGCTGGGTTCTCCGAGAGGGGCAGAGGAATTGAACCCGGCCCGGCCAGGCGGCCACACTGTCACTGTCACTGTCCTCCCATTGTTCATCGATTTGCTCGAGTGGGCCCAGTAACTTCTCCATTGGAGACTTTGTTGTTACTGTGTTTGGCATAACGAATACATCACGGGTAGCTTGCCAGGCTCTGCCGTGCGGGCGAGATACTCTCGGTAGCTTGCCGGGCTCTCCGAGAGGGGCGGAGGAATCGAACTCTGGTCGGCCATGTTGGCCGCTTGCAAGGCAAAAGCCCTATGGCTGTGCTATCGCTCCAGCCCACCAAAAAAAAGAATCCAGAGGAATTCAGAAATATAACAGTAGAGCACTTACCTTGTACTCAAGGTGAGTTCTGTCCTGTTACATCTCATTATCAAACACAATCCCTGGCATCAATGAATCCCTAAGTGGGCACTACCCCTTCTTCCCAAGGGGCCTTAAACTATCAGAGTGGGGGAAGTTGGAGCATTGGGTGCAAATAGGGGCTATATTAGGGGATATTTCTTTCTGTTTTTGTTTTTGGCTGTTTGGGTCACACCTGGCTCTGCACTCAGGAATTACTCTTGGCAGTGCTCAAAGGATCATAAGGGATGCTAGGAATCGAACCTGAGATGGTCACATGCAAGGCAAGTGCCCTAATTGCTGTACTATCGCTCTGACCCCTATTTTCTATTTGCTTAAAGAAGGCAGATTTCCAGGTGCGTATATTTCTAAAAAGCAGACAGTAAGCCAATTAAGTTTGGGAACAACCTGGCACAAGTGTATATCATCCTTGGTGAAAGTATGTACAAGTACTGTAACAAGTACTGGACCCCAAACAAACAACAAGAGCAAGAGTGCAACCCCCAGACAGCAAAATCAAGGAGAGAAAGGGGGTGCAATGGGGTGGGGAGAATACTAAAAATGAATGTAACTAAATGTATTTAAAATTTTTAATCTACAGGGGGAAAAGGGTGCTGTCCCTCCACCTGCTCCCCCTTGGTGGCTCGGTGGCCGCCATCCGCCAGAGGCCATTGGACAGTCAGGTTTGGGCCCACAGTGACGAGACATGCGGGGACTCACAGGATGAGGGTGGAGCCGGCCCTTTCTTCCCCACCCCAACAAGACCCCAGGTCACAGCCACCTATGGCCCCTCTGGCTCCTGATCAAGCTGCTTAATGACCATGATCCCAGAGACTCAGAAACAAATCTCAGAACCAAGCAGCTTTTGGCAGAAATGCATTCGAACCCCACGGTAGGTTACTGTCGCTGGGCCATTCCAGGGGGGACATGGTGCTGTCCCTCCACCTGCTCCCCCTAGGCAGCTCGGTGGCCACCAACCTCCAGAGGCCATTGGACAGTCAGGATCGGGCCCTCAGTGATGAAACACACAGGGCTCACAGGATGGGGGTGGAGCCGGCCTTTTCCTCCCCGTCCCAACGACCTCGAGTCACGGCCCATGAATAACCTTTCTGGCTCCTGATCAAGCTGCTTAACAGCCATGATCCAAGAGACTCAGGAACAAATCTCAAAACCCAGCAGGTTTTGGCAGAAATCCCTCCAGATTTAAGTGTTAAAATTTCAAAATTTCAAAATTGCAGTGCAGCCACGTGACATCATGTGTAATTCTTAACCAGAATAGAAAACAACTTGTCTACTGTTGCCTTTTCAGCAGATCTGAGCATTGGGGTAAAATCCCAAATTATAATGGTGGGTCTGGTGTCAAAATATTGAATGTAATCAAATAGAGAGTAATGTGGAAATCATCTGCTCCACAGGTAGGGGGAGGGTGTGGGTTGGGGGGCATACTGGGGTTTTTGGTGGTGGAGAATGGGCACTAGTGAAGGGACGGGTGTTTCATTGTATGATGGAGACTTAAACCCTAAAGCTTGGTAACTGCTTTCACGGTGATTCAATAAATAAAATTATAAAAAAATTTTTTAAAAAGGTGGAGTTCATGTCCAATTCAATCAGCTAATCAGTGGCTGAATAAATAGCAGTACTCCTACATTAAAAAAAAAATTCATCTAAGGTAGACTCCAGAGATATGAGTCAGTGAAGAGTGCCTGTCTGGCAGGAAGATGCCCAGTTCGCTCCGAGGCACCTCACCCAATGCCAAGTGTGATCCTCAGCACAACAAATGCAACCCATGGTGCACTACAACCAAGTGTACTCGTGCCAGCACAGTTAAATGTGACACCACCCCCTTCAGGTTCCTCACTAGCACATCTGTGAACACAACTAAAGGAGTGCAACACCACCCGTACCCCCCCCATGCACAAATAGGGACCCTAAATATCAGTAGAGAGAAGAGAGTATCAGAAAATAATTTTTAATTTCTTTTGCTTTTTGGGTGACCCCCAGCAATACTCAGGGATTACTCCTGGCTCTGCACTCAGGAATTATTCCTGGCGGTATTCAGGGAACCATATGGGATGCCAGGGATTGAACCCAGGTTGGCCACATGCAAGGCAAACACCCTACCCATTGTACTATCACTCTGGCCTCAGAAATAAATTACTAAGTATATAGGTCTTCGATGTGGTCTCTGAACTGAACATATAGACTTCCTGTCATTCCCTAAACATCTTAGCGACTCTTAATAACTCAGAAAACATATCAGGTAGGCAATTGCCTTGCATGCTGCTGACCAGAGTTCAATGCACAGCATCCAATATGTACCCCTGAGCTTTATCAGGAGTGATCGCTGAGTGTGGAGCCAGGAGTAAGCCCCAAGCACAGCAGGTGTGGCCTCAAAACAAAACAAAACAAAAAAATAGAGGAGTTGTGATGCACAGGGGTTACTCCTGGCTCTGCACTCTGGAATTCTCCTGGTGGTGAACAGGGAATCATACGGGATGCAGGGGCAGCTGCATGCAAGGCAAACACCTTACCTACTGTACTATCTATCTATTACTCCAGCCCCAGAAATTGCTTTCTTAAAAAAAAAAACCTTCATCTTAGTAACTCCTTACATAGCATTTAAGTTGTATTAGCCAAGTAATCTAAAAATAATTGAGAGGGAACCTGGGAGATCAAAAGTCTGACCCCTGGAATGCACTGCCTGAATATGCTAATTACAACAATAGTCTTGCATTTAAGTGTGACTCCAGAGAATGCCATAACCAACAGGTGACTTACAAGCACACCACAGCCAGGTATGAGTGTGATTCCTTGTCTTTACAACGAAGGGAAGGCAGAACGAAAAAAGGTACACGAAAAGATTTGTCACAGATGATAGGCACATACGATGACATTTAAGGGCTTTTAAGCATCAGTAGATTTTGGTACGGTGGGAGGTAATCTTGTACTGAGACTCTAAGGATACAATGTTAACTGCTTGCAGTACAGACAGTCACAGCCATCCAAAGAGAGAAACACTGGGGGCTGGAATGACAGTACAGCAGTAGGGCATTTGCCTTGCACGCGACCGACCCGGATTCGATTCCCAGCATCCCATATGGTCCCCTGAGCACCGCCAGGAATAATTCCTGAGTGCAGAGCCAGGAATAACCCCTGTGCATCGGCAGGTGTGACCCATAAAGCAAAAAACAAACAAACAAAAAAGAAAAACACTTCTAATTGCCCATTTGCCTACTTTAACAAAACTCATGAAATATCAGATGTTAAGATTCAATAATCTGGGGCTGGAGAGATAGCACAGCGGGTCAAACGCCTTGCACGCGGCCGACCCGGGTTCAATTCCCAGCATCCCATATGGTCCCAGGAGTAACTCCTGAGCGCAGAGCCAGGAGTAACCCCTGTGTATCACCGGGTGTGACCCAAAAAGAAAAAAAAAAGATTCAATAATCACATTCCTTGAACAATTGTTAAATATTTAATATATTCTTTATTTGCAGATCAGTTATACTAACCCTAAAAATTTAGACATCCAAAGTTACATTAGTAACGCACATAAACATGCTAAATGAGATTTGCAGTTTTGAGTGTTTTATAAATAGTATTACTGCATAACGTACCTTGATGTACATACAGAGTTTAGACATATATTCACAACTAATTCTCCTCAGAAAGATGGAGTCTGTTGAGTTCTGTTTTAAGTATTCTAAATCCCAAATTAATAAAACCTACTTTTAAGGACCATTCTATAGCTAAGGTACTGAGCCCTTCAGCCATGTTTCCTTTTTAAATATGCATATGTAGTAAAGTATATGGACCACTGCTTTTCTGGTTTAATACAATGAATTGTTAGTGACTGACACACAAACTTGCTGTGTAAAATCACCTCACAGTTCTAACATACACTTACCCCACAGATAAGCTGATTTTATGTCCTAACCTCAGTTTGTGTAATTATTAAATGAGCAAAAAACAATGGACCTAACATCAAAGTAGTTACTGTAGTGATTTTGCTAAATGTACATATTTAAGTATAAATCATAATGTAATCTATGCAGTGTGAAAGATATTTTAGAATCCTATGCTCTAAACCTATCGTTCTTAAAAGTGTGCATAATTTCTGGGCAATTTAGTTAGAAATTATTAATTTTCATTTAATTTAAAATGAAATATCCTGCTATACTTATTAGATTTTTTAAATTAATCTTTCTGGACACACTGGTTCCTAATACAGGCCTGAAAGTAAAGGTCTCAAATCTACATAAAACCAAATACAAAGTAACTCCAAGGTCTTCAGAATTATTTTTCTTTTCTTTTTCAAGAAATGATTCTATATTCTATATGCTAAAATTCGGTGTGAAAAATGGCCTAGTATACAGGGTAGACCTTTAGGACAATTCCACATTCTATTAAATGGAGACTTCAAGAAATATTGTGTTGTGGATAAATGGCTACTACTCTCAAAGACTTCTCAAAAGACACCACACCACCTCCAAGCCCTCACTCTGCCAAAGAGGTGGGAGAATGGCCACATTCTTATTTGCACAATATCAAATGAAACTACCAAATTCTTTTTTATCTGGAAAGGATATTTTAAGAGGTTCTGACTAAGAAGAGAAACTATGACTCAAAGGTTTAAAAGTATCTAACTATTAAATCTTTCACACAAACTTCTCCTTAGATGAGAGATATTAAAATAAGCTACATGTAAATTCTCATTTTTAGAAAAGGCGGAAACGTCTCAGGTAAAGTGGGAATTATTTAAAATATGAGGGCAGGAGTAACGTATTAGCTACATATTCAATTCAAAGTACATTAAAACCCAAACAGATTATAAACAGGTGACACTTTCATAAAACGTAGTATTTACTATTAGCTTTTCCAATGTAGGCAAATCACACAATGGAACTCTACATAGATTAAGATACTCTTTTAAATACATGTTAAAAAAATTTCATGTCTAAATTTTTAGGGTTATATAGTTAGAAATATATCATTCTACTTTTATAGACAAGTCAAGGAAAATAAGTTAGCACAATCATTTGAATTGGTTGTCGACATACTGGGCAGGGCTTATTCCTTTTCTTTAGTTTCTTTGCACAAGTAAAACACGCCATAAGATGTCCTGTTTTGCCATGGACAATGCAACCATTTTTGGGTCGACCCTGACATATCACACAAGGTTCAGTGGCATTAAGGGGAAAACTAGACTCCAAATTTTCTTCTTTGTCTTGTATTTCGTCCTTCTCAAGCTCTCTGACATCTTCTCGGCTACTATAAATTATACTATTAGAAGTTGATGGTTGAGAATAGTCCTCACTTTCTTGTGAATTAGAGGCTTGTGCAAGTTGATCATCATTTTCCTCACCACACGATTCTTTAGAATCATTCACCTTAGTTTTTTTACAATCAGGAACATCAAAGCCCTCTTCTACTTGTGTTGAGTTCTCTAGTTTGGCTTCCTCAGACATTTTCCCTTTATCTTTCCCTTTATCTTCAGGAAGCCAGTTCTCACGAAGAGCCCAACATCGGTTGCAATGTGATGGAAGGGGAGGATTCATTTCATTGCATGAAGTACACTTCCAGTAGTCCTTCAAGAAAACAAGACAGTTTCTGTAAACCTTAATAACTATTAGAAACTTCAATGACTAAGACAAAATGTATGAGTTTATGTTTTATATAAAATATACTGAGTGGCTTGGGAGGGGACCTTGAAACAATGCTGGAGGGAAGCAGATACTCTGGTGAAGGGGTTTTGTTACAATGTTGCATGCATGGAACTATTAAAGCAGTACTGTAAATAACAATACTTCAAACTTTTAAAAAATTCAGCACATCACTCTTTTCTGAAGAATTTTGTTTGGGAGCCACACTCATTGGTTTTCAGGGCTTACTCCTGGCTCTGGCTCACGAATCAATCCTGGGCAGTGATCAGGGGAACACATGGGGTGTAAAGCATCACACCTGGGCTGGTCATGTGCAAGCAAGTGCCCTACCAATTATATTCTCTCCCCATCCCCTCAAGTACAAGATTTTAAATATACATTTTATTTTCCCCAGCTAAACTGTGCTCAGAAATTCTTAAAAAGAACTTGATCATTATTTTACCCATTAACTATAGTTCCCTGAGGATACAAATATAGCGGGTTCATTTTGGTATAGCAAGTGCTGAGGTCTTTATACTGTAATGAGACCTATACCTACTACACTTACTTAAAGGCTCAACCCTAGATACAGAATACAGTGTTTAAGCAATGAATCTAGACAGAATTAGATCCCTCAGTGCCTGAAGCATGTGCTTTACATGCAGAGGTCTATGTATGATCCCTGGCAGTATACCGTTCCCTAAGCACTTCCAGGAGTCATCCCAGAGCAAAGACTCATCAGTCCCTAGGGGGTTAGGGAATACAGGGGTTTGGACAACTGCCTTGCACATAGCTCAACCAAGTTTAATCACTAGCATCACATAGGGTCCTGCATCTTGCCAGAAGTATTTCCTAAGTGCAGAACCAGTAGTAAGTCTTAAGCACAGCTCGTTGTAGCCCCCAACAAACAAAAAATAGAATTAGTAGTTCCTGAGCACTACTGGTGGAAGTGGACTTTGGATTTGGCCCAAGAAACAAAAACAAAATATGATTCACAGTCTGCCATTAACTAAGATTCCTAATTAAGTGTTCTAAACTCAGTGTTCTTTAACTTCATCTACAAAGGAAATAAAAACATTCTTAGCAATCAATGCCAGATATAACCTATCATCCTTGTCTCCACACTGTACGCCCTTTTGTGATCCTTTCCCATTTTCTCATTTTTGTTTCTCGTGTCTTCCTCATTTCAACTTAATCTCCCTTCCTACCATGCAACTTGAATAATAAACTTTGTGATCTTGTCATCTTCCTTTCTGAACTTATTTTTAGCTCCCTGCCCTAACTGAAACGAAATTTTTTCTGAAAACATGTTACATAATTTTCCCCTTTTAAAATTTTGTATCTGAATAATATTGCATCCAGCTCAAAAAATAAAAAAGAGACATCCTGATATAAACAGATCCCACCACAACTCCTGACCTTCTGCTTGCTGCTCCACCATTTCTGGTGAGGCTTGTCTCCAGCTGACATCACTAGACTTAACCCACAATGGGCGGTGAGACCCTCCCTTCCAGCTATCTTCCCTTCTGCAGTCTCCACACCAATTTGTAACACATCACAGCTCCTTAACTGATGGCCACTTACAAGGCATGCATATCTACTCAACAGATCACATGCTGCTCAGGTGTTCTTTCTATCACTTGGTGAAAATAGGCAAAGGAGAACCAGACCAACTCCAACCTAATCCCTACGCATCTTCCAGGGCATCTAACTACAAAACTCACTACCAGCACAGCAAGAACACTAGAAAAATCAATGGGGAAAACATAGAAACCCACCACACTCAATGAGTGAAAACAGTATCACCGAAGACATAAATATTAGTAATTCCTCAGACAATGTCTTCAGTAACACAATAACAAGGATGGTCAACAAGTTCAAAAAACAATAGCACGAATAGTCAGCAAAGCACAAGAAAGTGTAAGAGTCAACATGAAAATACTACAATCAGAAATGAGAGAAATGAAGACCATGGTAGGTGATACAAAAGTAAGTAGAAGCTGGGGCCAAAGCAGTAATACAGCAGGTTAGGTGCTTGCCTTGCATGTGGCTGACCTGGGTTCAATCCCTGGCCCCCACACATGGTCCCCTGAATCCCAAAAGAAGTGAGTGCTGAGTGTAGAACAGGAGTAAGTTCTGAACAATGCCAGGTGTGGCACCAAAACAAAACAAACAAAAAAAAGTCAAAAAAAGCTCTGAAAAGAATAAGAGAAGCTGGGGCTGGAGTAATAGCACAGCGGGTAGGGCATTTGCCCTGCATGCGGCCAACCCAGGTTCGATTCCCAGCATCCCATATGGTCCCCTGAGCACTGCCAGGGTTGATTCCTGAGTGCAGAGCCAGGAGTAAACCCTGTGCATCGCCAGGTGTGACCCAAAAGAAAAAACAAAACAAAACAAAAAACCAGGGAGTGGGAAATAAGTCTAAAATGAAATGAACAAGAATACTAAAGAATTATGGGATGAGTTCAAGATGAATATAAGACTCAGTGGAGTCCCAAAAGAACAGAAGGCAAATGTGATGAAGAAATAATAGTTAAAGAAATCATCAACAAGAGTTCCCCAATTTGGGGCTGAAGAGATAGCACAGCAGGTAGGGCGTTTGCCTTGCACACGGCCAACCAGGGTTCGAATCCCAGCATCCCATATGGTCCCCCGAGCACCGCCAGGAGTAATTCCTAAATGCATGAGCCAGGAGTAACCCCTGTGCAATGCTGGGTGTGACCCAAAAAGTGAAAAAAAAAAAAAGTTTCCCAGTGTTGAGAAATATAGGTACCAAAATCCAAGAGGCCCATTGGGTACCAGAGAAAACAGACTCAACTAGGGAAACTCCAAGATACAGTGTACTCAATATGACAAAAATCCGAAGATAGAGACAGAATACTGAAAGCAGCAAGATCAGAAAAGAAACTTATATACAAATGAAAGCTCCTAATGTACAGCGATCTAAAAAATGAAACCCTGTAAACCAGGACACTATGGAGGGATATAGTACAAAAACTCAATAAAAAGAACACCTCACCAAGAATACGCTATCCAGCTAGATTATCATACAGATTTTAAGGATGCTACAGAGATTCAGACCAGGCTACAGCTTAGGGAATTATAGCCTTGAAGTCAATTTTGCAAGAGCTTCTTTAAAGGACAGGACAACTCCATGGCCTGGAGGCCAGCCACACACTCTAGGAGTAAAGGCAGCTCAGATAGAGAAGGGAGCACCAAATAAAGGGTGTTGGGAAGATCCGCCCAGGATGGGAAACACATGCTGAAAGTAGACTATAGACCGAAATGATTGCCACTCAATTCCTCTTTTGCAAACTACAGCACCCAAAAAAAGAGATAGAGCAGAGGGGAGTGCCCTGCCACAGAGGCAGAGTGGGATGAGGGTGGGGGGTGGGAGGGATACAGGGATTAGTGGTGGTGGAGAGTGGGCACTGGTGGAGGGATGAGTGCTCGATCATTGTATGACTGAAACCCAAGCACAAAAATTTGTAAGTCTACAACTGTATCTCATGGTGTTTCACTAATAAAAATTTAAAAAATAAAATAAAATAAAATAAAGGACAGGACAAACTTCCCAAAACATGGTGTTGAATCAATGTCTTTGTAGCTAAAGGCATCTTCAAAGATGAAATACCACTGACCATATAAGTGGAAGCAAAAGTAAACAAATGGGACTACATTAAACTAAGAAGTTTCTGCATCTCAAAAGAAAAGGTGATCAAGATACAGAGACAGCCTGTGGAATGGGAAAGATTATTTACCCATCTAATAAGGGGTTAAAACCAAAAACATATAAAACACTGATAAAACTTTAGATGAAAAAGACATCCAACCGGATTTAAAAAAAAAATAGAGGAAATGGACAGAAACTTCCTCAAAAAAGAAATTCAAATGGTCAACACAAATCAAAACAACAATGAGGTATCACCTCACACCACAGAGACTGGTACACATCAAAAAGAACAAGAACAAGAAGTGTTGACACAGATGCAAAGAGAAAGGGACTCTCATCCATTGTTGGTGGAAATGCCAACTGGTCCAGCCTTCTTAAATAACAATATGGAAATTCCTCAAAAAACTAGAAATTGAGCTCCCATTTGACTCAGCAAAGGCACTTCTGAGAATATACCTTAGGAGCCCAAAAGCACACAGCAAAAATGTCATCTGCAGCACTATTCACAATATCCAGAATCTGAAAACAACCCAAGTGCCCTAGAACAGACCACTAGATAAAAAAATTATGGTACATCTATCTACACAGTGGAATACTACGCAGCCAACAGGAAAAATGAAGTAATGAAATTTGCTTATAAATGGATGGATATGAGAGTATCATGCTGAGTAATATGATTCAGAAGGAGAAGGGCAGACAGAATGACTGCACTCATTTGTGATATAAAAAAACATAGCATGAGACTAATATCCAAGTACAGAAAATACAGGGGCAAGGTACATGGGGGAAGAGGGCAGTTAGGATAGAGAAGAGACCACAATGACAGTAAGTTGGAAATCATCACTCTCAATAAGAACTGAGTGCTGAAAGGAGGTAAAGGGATATACATAATAATTTTTCAGTATCTGTATTGCCAACCATAGTACTCAAAGGGAAGAGAGATGAGAGAGAGGGAGGAGAGAGGGGGGAAGAGAGAGAGAGAGAACGCAAGCACACACACCCGCCATAAAGGCTACAGAGGTGGGAGAGGGGGGTCGGGAGGGAAACTAGGGACACTGGTGGTAGGAAATGTACACTGGTGAAGGAAAAGGTGTTGGAAACATTGTATAACTGAAATCCAATCATGTATCTCACAATGATTCAATTCAAAATAATAAATTAAGATATTGAAAAATAAACTCTCAGGACCAGAGACATGGACAGTGGACAGTGTGTTCGCCTTGATGCAGTCGATCCAGGTTCAATCCCAGGGACCCGTATCACCCCCTGGCTACCACCAGGAGTGATCCCTGAACAAAAAAGCCAGGAGCAAGCCCTGAGCACCAAGTGTGTTGTTTTAAACAACAGTTTAAAAAAAAAATTAAATGTAATAAAAGATCTTAATACTAGAAAAATTCTTTAAAAACAAAAATGTTAATTCTAAAAATTATCTCATGTCATAAAATAAACTTAACCTAAGTTTTCTAATCAATCTCAATGTTATTTTTGATTTCTTGAAAAAGGAGAATTTTTACTTACAGCCAATGAAATTTCAGGATCTTCTTCAAAGGAATCTGTATCACTTTCCCCTGTCTGGTACACAGTAACACGATATACCTAATAAAATTAATTCATTAATATCAATTCATCATCTTTTAACTTTAGCATGAAATTTTAAGTGTTAAGATTTAAAAAAAAAACGATTATATGAGATTTTCTAAGATAAAGACCAAATGAAATAGTATAGCGAGGGAATTAAAAAAAAAAAACAGTGAAATCCTCATCTACTATGCCAACAAATTTAAAATGAAGCAAAAAATTCAGTAATATTAAGAAGAAATATTAAGTAACATTGAAAAGCATTATAATGTTAAAGTCTGTCAACTCCAGGACATACAGAGGTAGTATGTGACTGTTTTTTACTTTGTATTTTTTGAAGGGGCCCTGGGGCCACTCCAGGTAATACTCCACCCACCCAGTTGCATGACTGAATGCTGAGTCCACCATAAAGTATGTTATTTAAACCCAACGATACTGGGAGCTGCCAAGATCAGACCTGGTGATGTTCTAAAGCCACCAGGGCTATACTGGATAATGTTCAGGGAGTTCACTTACTCCAGTATCACGTGGTGCCAAAGACAAAACCAAGGTTACATGTACCATAATCTCTATACTATTTCTTCAGCCCATATTTTTTTTTATACTGGTGCTAATGTTATTCACCACATCCTTGCCCGCCTTCCAATTATTTGACTGCAACTTTATGCAAGCTTTACTTTTATAAATATTAGGAGAAATAGTTCAATGGCAAAGTACATGCCTTACAGGTAAAAAGCTCTGGGCTTAATCCCTAGGACAACCCCGAAAAGGGTTAATATTAAAAGTGGAGAATTAAAATTTGCAAATGGAGGGCCCACATCTGACTATGCCGAGGGGCTATACTTCTGCCTCTGTGCACAGGGGTCACTCCTGGAGGTGCTCAGGAGGTCAAACCACGGTCAGTGATTCACAAGGCAAGCACCTTAATCCTTGTACTGCCTATCAGGTCCAGAACTGAAGAAACTATTAAAAGAATACTCATTCAAGCATACCGGTTTCTTGGCATAAGCTGCTATCTGAATGTAACCAGGCTTAATAAATAAACTACAAAAGCCAAATCTATAAAATAGTATTTTAATCTGAACAGATGAAGAGGCAAACCTTTCAGGTAAAATCTGAATATATTTCAGTCTCACCAGTCAATGAATATTAGAAATAGATAGCAATCTTGGAAAATAATGAGTAAAAACCTTTACCTCATCATCATCATCTGAGAGTTCTTGTCCTTCTTCACTAAGACTATAATCTTCTGAATCTAGAGACTCAACTTCAAATTCTACACTGAATTGATCTGAAACTGAATCCTGATCCAACCAATCACCCGAATGTTCACTTACACCAGTATCAAGATCCTGCATCAGGAGATAAAAAGAAAGAGTGACAATGAGCACCTACTGTTCTATTACAGTTTGTCCCAAGTCATCTCCTCATACTCATTCTGCATACTGTATCAATCGTATTATTTTTCCCTGTTCAAAAGCTTTTTTGCTAGTAGCTGCAATAAAGGCATTTTTAGGGCAGAGTGATAGTACAGGAGATAAGGCCGTTGCTTTGCACATGGCTAACCCTGGTTCAAATCCCTGGCACCAGATTCCCTGATTCCCACAGCATTGTCTAGAGGTCATTCCTAAGCAGAGCCAACTTCAACACAACCAAATGTGAAACAAATTCTTCCCTCTCCTCCAAGAAAAAGGTATTTTTAAACTTCAAGATAAATTTGCCTTAGAATCCCAAAATATTTGAATTAAACCAAATTTTTATTAGTTCCCCTCCCCACTTTTAAGAAGTAAAACTTCTAAATTCTCAGGTTATATATATTCCAATTGATTTTAATCTACGGTCCACAAAAATTAACAATATGCAAAGTGACATTAAGTATTAATTCTGCTAACACATCCGAAACAACTGCACTATCTTCTATCCTTCTCCCCAAATCTGGAGTTAGTAGATGGGGAAAGAATCTATAGTATCATTTGAAAGGAAAATTTACCAATGTGTTTTAGTAATCACCTATCATACATGTGCACTTTGTCTGAATGTTTTAGAACTGTTTGGTTTAAAATAAGATTACCGGATTCGATGGAGTTCCTGTCGATTCGTTGCTACTGCTTCTTTCACAACATATCTCCCTTATTACACACAGAGCAAGGCTTTCATCAAAAGAAAGGGAAATATTATCAGATTTGTGGCGTTTTCTTTGTCGGTCACCAGGTAATTCATCTGAATTTTCTTCTGGATACACAAGAAAAAAACAAGTTAATTAAAATGCTATTTTGCAATGTCTTTAAAATTAAACAGACTTGAATATTACTCACATACATACTAACACCATTCTAAGTCAACACTTTTCTTGGATCTGTTGTATCAAACATTATAAGAACACTATAAAAGCTTTTTATTTTCCAGTTTGTTTTTTTGGACCACACTCGAAAATGCTCAGGGCTTACTCTGGCTGGCTTTGCACACAGGGATCATTCCTGGTGGGGCTCAGGGGAGTATACTTGGTACCAGAGATCAAACCAGAGTTCCTTGCATGCAAAGTTAAGTGCCCTACTCACGGTGCTATGTCTCCAGCAAAAAAAATCTTTTTAAACTTTAAGAACTTTAGCTCCATGAAGTCACAATGTAATCATCTGAAGCTTTTATTAACCAATATTTTGCTCACCCTTTTATTTCCTTCTGTTAGCTTTCCTAGTCAGAAGTTAGCTCTCTTTTCTCTAAATTCCCAAAACAATTCTTAAGTGATAGCTATTTATCTCCATGACTAAATCACAAGGCTGTTCTGAGTTTTTTTCTTTTCTTGGATTTTTGGGCCACATTCAGTAGTTCTCAGGGCTTACTCATGATTCTGTGCTCAGGGGTCACTCTTGGAACTGCTCAGGTAACCATATGTAATGCAGGGAACTGAACTGGAGTCAGCCGCATTCAAGATAAGCTCTGTAATTACCGCGCTCTCTCTGATCCATAGATCACATATTCTTGACTTAAGTTCTATTAGACATGTTTGTATTCACTGTAAGAAAGATAAACGGGCCAAAGTGATAGTACAGCCTTGCATGCAGATGACCCACGTTTGATCCCTGGAATTCCATATGGTCCCCCATGCAAAATGACAGGAGTAATTCCTCAGTGCAGAGCTAGAAGTAACTCCTGAGCACAGCTGGGTGTGACCCCCCCCCCCCAAAAAAAAGGATGAAAATGGAAAGATAGCACAGGATTGGTAAAACTCTTGCCTTACATATAAGTAGTTGTGGTGGAATGTCCAGCACCATACAGAGTCCCTTAAGCACTGACCAGAGTCACTCCTGAGCAGAAACTCAAGGATAGCCCCCGAGTGCTAGCGGGTGTGACCCAAAAGCACAAAACAAACCAACTACCAACATAACCCCCCAAAAAGTGATCTCGGTTGAATAATGGAAACTACAAGTCTATACCCTATTGATTAATATTTTTTAATTTGAAACTTTATTCTAGTTTATTGAAGTACTCTATTACTCACAGCAAAACAACTTTCTTTTGAGGGAGTCACCCAGCAGTGCTCTGGGATTACTTCTGGCGGTTCTCAGGGAACTATGCAGTGCCGGGGATCAAAGTGAGGTCAGCAGCACTCAAATAATGTGTCTTAACCCCTAATCTATCTCTCCAATCACCCCCACACCCCAACACAGCAGAACCCTTTTTTATAAAGGAGGCATGATGAAGGGGCAGGGAGAAGGCTTAGTGACTAAAACACTGGCCTCACAATGGATGAGACCAATCCTCAGTGTGCTACATGTGTCAAGCCCATCCTGGCAGCTCTGCCATCCACATGATCCCTGGCATCCCTGTCACTCACCAGCCAGGAGTGGATGCAAGCACAACTAAAGGATGCAAAAAGTGCAATACCGGGGCTGGAGTGATAGCACAGTGGTAAGGCAACTGCCTTGCCCGTGGCCGACAAATGATTCGATTCCCAGCATCCCATATGGTCTCCTGAGCACCATCAGGAGTAATTCCTGAGTGCATGAGCCAGGAGTAACCTCTGTGCATTGCTGGGTGTGACCCAAAAAAGCAAAAAAAAAAAAAAAAAAAAAAAGAAAGAAGTGCAATACCCCTGGCCCCAATATGAAAGCTACATCCTGATTATGCATAAACACAACTAAGGAGTATGACCCCCAGGCCCACCAAGTGGGCCAAGTATCACAATCTGATGTATGATTCCCTGTCAAAATTCCCCCTCTTTCCCTGTTACTGTTATTACTTTGACTCTGGTGTTTGCACACTTAGCAAAGTTTGCCTGAGGTCACATTCTGATTCTCCAACACACTTGGTTTAGATATGCTACAGATTCCACATTTATAAATAAATAAAGGCGCAATGGATAGCGCACTGGACTTCCACATTTATGGTGCCAGCAATTTCAAAAGCCCCCGCGCCCCCCACACACACACCCTCCACACACACACATTTTTTTAATGTAAACCATCTGTAATGATGCCATTGATACCTACTCTTAATAATTTTCCAGTTCTTTAATTTCCTCTTTTTAAAGAACATAACTTGAGTCACACATGTACTATTCAGGCATGGCTTTTCCTTATTCTTTTTTTTTTGTTTTGGCAGGACCTGGAGACTACTCAAATGGTGCTTGGGTAACCACATAGTGCTGGGGATGAACCACAGGTCTCCTTCTTCAGGCAAAGTGTGTGCTCAAGCCTTTGAGTTACCTCTCCCTCTCTGACTCTCCAACTTAGTTTCATATACTGTTGACCAAAAATGAACAATCCAGTCAACTTTTTTTTTCTTTTTGGGTCACACCCGGCAATATACAGGGGTGTCACTCCTGGCTCTTTCACTCAGGAATTACTCCTGGCGGTGCTCGGGGGACCATATGGGATGCTGGGAATCGAACCCGGGTTGGCCACGTGCAAGGCAGACGCCCTACCCACTGTGCTATTGCTCCAGCCCCTAGTCAACAATTTTGAGCATCACTGTCAGGTGACAAAGAATATACTTACTCTCTACTACCCTAAATAATAGAGAATTAACTATATATTCCAGTGGGAGATGGGAGACAGAGGTCAACAGGTGGATGTGATTTGCAGGGGGAGGCTTATGTAGGATCCCTGCACTTCATGATCTCAGAACTACACATGGCTCAAAAATTTAAGCCTGAATGAATGACTGAATCCAGTGGAACACAGAAAACTGTGCCTGTTATAATCAACTACAAAGAAGTTGCTAAGAAAGCAATTTCTCAGGGGTATGGTGCTACTAGCAGGTCAATCTGTACCTGTGAGCAAGAGCATCAGCAGCCTGATGGCACCTTCAAACTTTCAGATACCCCAAAATTGCTACTGTGCCTTTGGCCAGATTCCAAAAACTTGGGGCAAAGTTTATCAGGAAAGTAAACGGCCAAAAGTTAGGTATGTGGGAGACACACCCACAAACCAGCTCCGGCTCAGCTATATAATTGGAGGCATGGCCTCTCTGGTTCCTGATCGAACTGCTTAATGGCCATGATCCCAGCAACTCAGAGACAAATCTCAGAACCCAGCGGCTTTTGACAGAGATGCATCCGGTCCCCACAATGGGTTACCAGTGCCGGGCCACGAAGGGGGAAAAGAATGTTGTCCCTCTGCATGTTCCCCCCTGGCGGCTCAGTGGCCGCCATCTGCCAGAGGCCAATGGACGGTCATATTTGGGCCTGCAGTGACAAGACACAGGGGACCTCATGGGATGGGGATGGGGATGCGGATGGAGCCAGCCCTTTCCTCCCCATCCTAATGAGACCGTGAGTTGTCGCCCACGAACAGCCTCTCTGGCTCCTGATCAAGCTGCCATGATCCCAGAAACTCAGAAACAAATCTCGAAACCCAGCGGCTTTTGGAAGAAATGTGTCCGAACCCCACAATAGATTACTGTCGCCAGGCCACTCCATGGGGGAAAGGGTGCTGTCCCTGCACCTGTCCCCCGCTTGGCGGCTCGGTGGCCGCCATCCTCCAGAGGCCATTGGACAGTCAGGCTTGGGTCCGCAGTGACGAGACACATGGGGTCTCGTGGGATGGAGTGGAGCCACCCCTTTCCTCCCCACCCTACTAAGAACCTTGAATGGCCTCTCTGGCTCCTGATCAAGCTGCTGGCCATGATCCCAAACACTCAGGGACAAATCTCAGAACCCAGCAGGTTTTGGCAGAAATCCCTCCAGATCTGATTGTTGGAATTTCGGAATTCCAAAATCGTGTGGCTACTACTGTGGCCACACAACATCATGTTATTCATGATCAGCAATAGAAAACAAATTGCCTACTGTTATCTTTTCAGCAGATCTGAGTGTTGGGGTAAAATCCCAAATTAAATAATGGTGGGTCTGGTGTTGAAATATTGAATGCAATCAAAGTAGAGAGAGAGTAATGTGGAAATCATCTGCCCCACAGGTAGGGGGAGGGGGTGCAATGGGGGTATACTGGGGTTTTTGGTGGTGGAAAATGGGTATTGGTGAAGGTACGGTTGTTTCATTGTATGACCGAGACTTAGACCCGAAAGCTTTGTAACTGCTCTTACGGTGATTCAATAAATAAAATTATGAAAAAGGAAAAAAAAAAGGTGGAGTTCATCCCCAATTCAATCACCCTAATTAATGGCTGAATAAATAGCAATACTCCTACATTAAAAAAAAAAAAAAAGCAAGCAATTTCTGCAGGGGTGCAGGGTTTGGGACACACCTGGCCATGTAAGCAGGCTTACTCCTGGCTGTGCTGGAGGACAACATGCATGCCAGGATTACACCTACGTCGGCTGCATGCAAGGCAAGTACCTTACCACTATAGTATCTTTCTGGCCTAAGAAAGCAATTTTAAACCAAAAAATACATAATAAGAAACACAAAAATTAATTTATCCAAATCAAAAAAAACAATTTCATTGAAGCTAAGTGTGCCAATTTCACTAGAAATGCATCACTGAAGGGTGGCTTGAAAAAACTTATTAAATATCCTATATACCTGTCTCACTCACTGCTCTCCTTCGAGATGAGGTAGATGGTCTAGAAACCAAGTCCGAAGATGAAGGCTTCTCTTCCTGTAGCTCTTGCACAGCTTCCTAAACATTACAGGGGAGAGAAGAACACCCACAAACTTAATTGTAACAGCAGGGAGCTAAAAATTATATGTTCTAGGGGCTGGAGAGATAGCACAGGGGTAGGGCGTTTGCCTTGCACGCAGCCGACCCGGGTTCGATTCCCAGCATCCCATATGGTCCCCTGAGCACCGCCAGGAGTAACTCTTGAGTGCAGAGCCAGGAGTAACCCCTGTGCTTTGCCAGGTGTGACCCAAAAAGCAAAATAAATAAATAAATAATAAAAATTATATGTTCTAAACACCCTTGCCAATTTTCAAAGACATCAAACTAGAATGAGTTAAAGATTACCTTTTCATCACTCTGATCTTCAAGGTGACACGTGGGTTCACTTAAAGATGAGCCTGAATCTGAGGTTTCTGACAGAAAACAAAGGCAAAGAATTACAACAACAAAACTATAAAAAAGTTACTCATATCTGAATCTGGAATATCCCTTACACACAATTTAACCTTTCAACAAGCATTAAATCTGTGTCTCCCAGCTGTCATCCCCATTCTAAAACTTGTCTACTGGAGAGACAAGTAAGATAAATTAATGGGGATAGAGAATATGAGGTAAGGCACTTGCATTACATGCAGCCGACAACAGTTTGAATCCCCAATACCTATCAACACTAGGGGTCACTACTGAGCTCAGAGGCAGTAGTAACCCCTGAGCACCACTAGGTGTTCCCACAACCACAAAAAAAGGAAAAAAAAATTTTTTTAAAGACAAATTAGTGAGGATGGAGCAATGAGCAATGATTATGTAGGTGTAGGGCATGAAGAACAGTTTTCATGGTTTCCTAATAGAACATATCAAAGTAGAACTAAAAAGGTAGCCCAGAGGGTTAAGGCCAGTAACAGAAGTGAATAGGCAAAGTGGACAGGATCATAAAGGACCCTGTGTGTCTTCCTGTGTGTCCAATGTAAGGATGTCAGCACTCAGGCCAGACAGCATAGTGGGTAGGGCACTTGAATTGCATGCAGTGCACCAATCTCCAGCAACCTCAATATTCCCTGGGCACTGACAGGAGTAAGACCTGAGCACTGCTGGGTACACCCACCTCCACCCCCACGCCCATTCTCCCCACAACAACAACAACAACAAAAAAAAAAAAGCAGTGTTCATGTACATGCCAACTCAGCTTCATAGCAGTTTTACCCCAATTGATACTAGAAAATCTTTCCTAAGGCACTTATAGCAACCATTCATCAATAAGGTATTATCGAAGAGTTAAAACTGACTTTCTGGTTTCACAAGAATTTCACTCAATCTTAATCAAAGGCTGAATAAATAGCAGTATTCCTATATTATTTTAAAAAAATTCTGAGATAAGGAATGGTCATCACAAGCAGAAAAGACCATGATCACTAGCAAATAGAAGAAAAAGTAGACAAAACTAGTATTAGAAAAGTAATGATTTAAAAAAAATGAAAGTAACATAGCTAAACTAACACACAGAAAAAAGATCAATTCTAAAGAAATAAAAAAGATAAAAATCAACCAATATTTAGTATCCAATATATTAAAGGAGGAGAAAGAAGTAAAGACAGATTGCGGGGCTCGTGCGATAGCACAGCAGGTAGGGTGTTTGTCTTGCACGCTGAAGACCCAAGTTCTATTCACAGCATCCCCTATGTTCCGCCAACCACCACCAAAATTCCTGAGTACAGAGCCAGGAGTAACCCCTGTGCATTGACAGATGTGACCCAAAAAGAAAAAGAGACGGATTTCAATATTACACCATATGTGAATAAATGGGTAGTATCACTCACCAAGAGAAACTTCAGAAAACCAAAGAACTTGTATGGGAAGAAAATAAATTTATGGGAATGAAACTCATGTATATATAGGAGGGTTTAGTTCCTAGTTAGGAATCTAGAATGTACAAATCTAGAGATCTATAATGTCAAAGTTTTGTGCTGCACAGATAGTTCAGAGGACCAGAGTGTGGGCCACGCAGATAAGGTCCCAAGTTAGCTCCCTGGCACCAGCATTGCATAACACCTAACAGTCCCAACGAGGTCACAACAGTGCCTCAATAATGGACCTGAGCACCAAACTGTTGGGCGCACAGAGTGGAGTCAAGTAACACAGGCGGTATTAGCCCTAGGCCCCTGAAAACTAAAAATCATCATTAATATCTTCAAGGGCTGGAGTTATAGCACAGCGGGTAGGGCATTTACCTTGCACACAGTCAACATGGCTGACCCAAGTTTGATTCCTCCCCGCTCTTGGCGAGCCCGGCAAGCTACCGAGAGTATCTCGCCCGCATGGCAAAGCCTAGCAAGCTACCTGTGATGTATATGATAGCCAAACACAGAAACAAGTCTCACAATGTTACTGGGCACACTCAAGCAAATCGATGAACAGGAGGACAATGACAGTGACAATATCTTCAAAGATGTCACGCCACTGGCCAAGCAAGTGAAAACAGAGATAGACAAATGGGACTGTCTTAAACTAAGAAGCTTCTGCACCTCAAAAGAAACAATGACCAAAATACAAAGACAGTCTACAGAATGGGAAAGGATATTCACCCAATACCCATCAGACAAGGGGTTGATATCAAGGATATACAAAGTACTGGATGAACTCCACAAGAAGAAAACATCCAACCCATCAAAAAGTGGGGTAACGAAATGAACAGAAACTTTCTCAAAGAAGGAATCTAAATGGCAAAGAGGCACATGAAAAAATGCTCTACATCATTAATCATCAGGGAGATGCAGATCAAAACCACAATGAGATATCATCTCACACCACAGAGAATGGTCACATCCAAAAGAACAAAAGCAACCGGTATTGGCATGGATATGGTGAAAAAGGGACCCTCCTTCACTGCTGGTGGGAATGCCAACTGGTTCAGTCCTTCTGGAAAACATTATAGACGATTCTCAAAAAATTAGAAATTGAGCTCCCATTTGACCCAGCAATACCACTCCTGGGAATATATCCCAGAAAGGCAAAAAAGTATAGTCGAAGTAACATCTGCACTTGTTTGTTCATTGCAGCACTCTTTACAACAGCCAGAATCTGGAAAAAACCTGAGTGCCCAAGAACAGATGACTGGTTAAAGAAACTCAGGTACATCTACACAATGTAGTACCATGTAGCTGTTAGAAAGGATGAAGTCAGGAAATTTACATACAAATGGTACTACATGGAAAGTATCATGCTAAGCAAAATGAGCCAGAAAGAGAGGGACAGATATAGAAAGACTGCATTCATCTGGGGAACATAAAGTAACAAAATAGGAGACTAACTTCCAAGTATAGCCGAGGTAAGTACCAGGAGGTTTACTCCATGGCTTGGAGGCCAGCTGCACGTGCTAGGGGAAAAGGCAGCTCAGATAGAGAAGGAAGCACCAAATAAAGGGTGTTGGGAGGATCCTCCCAGGATGGGAGATGCATGCTGAAAGTAGACTATAGACTGAACATGATTGCCACTCAATGCCTCTTTTGCAAAACACAGCACCCAAAAGGAGAGAGAGAGAACAAAAGGGAATTCCCTGCCACAGAGGCAGGGTGGGATGGGGGGGATGGGGAAGTGGGAGGGATACTGGGATTAGTGGTGGTGGAGAATGGGCACTGGTGGAGGTATGGATACTCAATCATGTATAACTGAAACCCAAGCACAAAATAAAGTTTACAACTGTACCTCATGGTGTTTCACTAATAAAATTTTTTTAAATAAATAAAAAAAAAACCACCATTAAATATTCTTTACCACTACTTTAAAAACAATTTCATTTTAGTAGTAAGGTCAGGCCTGAATATTAACTTTCGGAATTTTATGTGATATTGTTGTGTATTTCTTCTTTGTATTATAAGGCATTGATTTCAAGTCATACCTGTGAAATTCTGTTCTAGCATAACAAAAAGGATGCGAAAAAATGGATGTGATAAAAACAAAGTACTAGATGTTGCAAAACTAGCACTACTAATACAGGTGGTCTAATGTTTTCAATTCTACTAAAATAAAACCTGAACAAACTCAGAAATGAGATAAATAACCTACATGCAAGTAGATTAATAGTTTCCTAGTAGTTTACTAAGATTTGTTTAAATGAACAGGATAAATACTTCAGAGAACTCAAACTACTATTACAGGTATTATATTAACTACCATCATTTAATTTCATAAAAAAACTTTTTAAAAATAATAAAATACCATGTCATCATGGCATTTTCAAGGTGGTAGCCTTGCAAATATAATAAAAATATAATAATAATTACTTCTGGGACTTAAATACTAACTTTGGAAAATTAGCATTCAACACATTTATTTACTAAAAAATCCTAAAAATGCCTCAAAAATTCTGCACACAAGAAACCAAAATAACTACTAAGCAATCTAACAAAATCTAAATATGGAACAGAGGAAGCACAAAGGAATAGTCGATTTATTCTGGAATTAAACAAGCCTCTAAGAACAGATCTTAACTGTCAAGGATGAGTGTTAAAAGGTCTGTGGTGGGACAGCCATGTTGCTCAGCAGTAAAGCACTGGCCTTGCTTATGTGAAGGTCCTGGATTTGATACCTGAGAACATCAAAGAAACGTAAAATGTCTGTGGCTACCAACTTGCAAATCGTGTGCATCTCTCCCCAACTTCTTTAAAGGTTGAAAATAGGCATGACAGAGAAATGTTTACAACATGTAAACCAACACTCATTACAAATCAAGGCTTTCCCCCTGAAAAATGTATTTTTCTGTACTGTGTGTATTTTCCACACTGTGTGTATCTTTCTGGAATAAGAACACAGTCAGTACTTTCATCAGATTATCAAAAGGATCTGACCCCAAAATACCAGTTAAGTACAGGCCTAAAGGCAGGGAAGCAAAATGCCATTTATGTATCTAAATTGAGAAAGTCTGGGGCTGGAGCAATAGCAAAGTGGATAGGGCGTTTGCCTTGCACGCGGCTGACAAACGATTCGATTCCCCGCATTCCATATGGTCCCCTGAGCACCGCCAGGGGTAATTCCTGAGCGCAGAGGCAGGAGTAAGCCCTGTGCATAGCCAGGTGTGACCCAAAAAGCAAAATAAATAAATTGAGAAAGTCTGGTATTATGAACAAAATAAATCCATCTTCTTATGACATCCTACAGGTAGAAATTTGTGTTCTTAAAAGTCTTTCAATACAGGGGTCAGAGAAATTATAGTGGGTATGATGCTTGCTTTACATCCAGGTTCAATCCCTGGCATCACATATGGTTCAAGGAGAGATCACCATCAGGAGAGATCCCTCAGAGTACAGAGCCAGGAGTAACCTCTGAGCATTGCCAGATGTAACCACAAGCAAATAAACAAACAAAAAACCTTTCAGTACTTGCTTCAGTGCTTGATCATAACTCTAAGAAGCATGAACTCTTTCAAAACAAATTCTAACTCTAATATCCCAAGATCTAGAATATTTAACTCTACACATCATAAATCTGAATAAGAACCTTAGTATTATGCCATTTTCAGTTGACACACTCTTTCCTATTAAATTTAATAACTGTGTATCATAATTGCATAATTAAAACAACTTTTAAAAAGAATCATACTTATAAAATGACTGCATGGACACAAACTGTCTTTAGATATTTTAAGGCAAACTCTAGCAACATGTCAATGATCTCTAATTCAGGGGGCTTAATGGCTCCAAGAGGAGATTCAACAATTTCATACATTTTCCTCTAAGGAAACCTTTTTGGATCAATTTTTGTCGATTATTCATAACAAGTAATACAAAATAAATTATTTAGCATCTGCCTTTGGGGCAGGCTTGGGTGGTGGTGGGAAAACTCGAAATAAAGGTGATGGGAATGTGTAATGGTGCTGGAATTGGTGTTGAAACTTTGAACATATTCAATTATTGTGAACAACTCTAAGATAAAAATAGATAAATAAAAATTAAAACTAAATGTTTTATGGAAAGCAGAGTTCAGTGGGTAGGGCACTACTTGCCTTGCATACAGCTGACCTGGACTCAAGTCCTGCACCCCAATATAGTCCCCTGAGCCTCCCTACGAGTGATTCCTGAGTGCAGAGCCAGGAGTAAGCCCTGAGCAGTCAGGGTGGCCAAAATATTAAAAACTATTTTTATGAGCAGAGCTAACAATATAGTAGAGTGGAAAGCACTTGTCTTGCTGGCAAACAAACCCTGGTTTGGCATCACATATGGTACCCTGAGCGCAGAGCCAAGAGAAGCTCCTGAGCACCACTGGATATAGTCCAAAATCCCCAAGACAAATTATTATTCTTTTGGTATTCAAAATTAACTTACCCTGTGGGTTCACTACCACCAAATTTCTGTAGATCATTGTATATATTTTCCTTGTGGAGAAAAAAGAAAGTGTACATTTTTAAACTAAATGTACTAAAATACACTAAATCAGACTCTAAATGTGTATTAAATGAACTATTATACGCAAACAAGTATTAGACTGAACTCCAATTACATCTCTAGGAACTTCTAGAGATAAAGTATAATGGGGCTACAGACAAAGTACAGTAGAAAGTGTTTGTCTTGCACACAGCTGACCGAGTTTGATCCCAGGCACCCCATGTGGTTCCTAGAGCTCACCTAGGGGAGCAAAGAGCCACAAGTAAGTGCATCCCACCAGGTGCATCCCAAAACCAACTGTCACTGTCCTCCCGTTGTTCATCGATTTGTTCGAGCGGGCCCAGTAACGTCTCCACATGAGACTTTGTTGTTACTGTGTTTGGCATATCGAATACGTCACGGGGAGCTTGCCAGGCTTTGCCGTACGGGCAAGATATTCTTGGTAGCTTGCCGGGCTCTCCGAGAGGGGCGGAGGAATCGAACTCGGGTCGGCCATGTTGGCCGCTTGCAAGGCAAACACCCTACCCACTGTGCGGTAGGGCATTTGTCTTGTGCGCGCAGTCGGCCAACCCAAAACCAAAAATAATAAAAAATAATAAAAACCTCAATGGGACAGAAAAATAGCTCAAAAAGCAAGTGTCAATGTTTTGCATGCAGGAGTCCCATGTTCAATCCCAGCATCACATGGACAAACAAGCAACATACCACCAATAACCTCTGGTGGACAAGGCCCAAAATAAGTGAAACTACTCTTCACCAAAAAAAAGTAATTTCTCCTCCCCCCTTTTTAGTTTTTATCTAAATATTCAATAGTAAATTTATATTTCTATGAACTTATTTTAAATGTATAAACATCCTATTTAATTACCATCTTGCTAGCTAAATGTCAAATAGAATTTAGTTAACTGTTTCAAATGAGATATATTAAGAAACACACATATGGTTTCAGTGACTGTGTTAAACCAAATTAACAAGGAATTTCAAATACAAGACTGAAAAAAAAAGTCTGTAGTACCCAGCAGAATACTTCAAAAAATGTCATCAGAGTTTCATTCAGCTGATTATGTGCATTAATTGCACAGAACAAAGAAAATTATATCCAAAGTAACTAAGACTCAATCTTAAGTGTTTGAAAATCACTGTAATTACACAATATCTTTTAATACTGTGGCTAAGACTTGAATATTTTCTAAGTAACACACTAAGTTATATAGTTTCTTCATAACCTCAACTTGACCCCTAGTTTAACAAATAGGCTGGCAATAATATCACTAGTTCACAAACAGGAAACGAAGATTTAGAGGGCAAGTTAATTTACTTCATCACACATCTAGATAATGACTAAATTACATCTCAACCCACATTGGTCAGACTCCAGACTCAGACTCTCAACCAATATGCTATATGACTTTTGCATGCAAAAGTCCTGCATTCTATTCCTAAATGGCAAGCACCAAGAGCCATGATAAAGAATAGCATCTAAGCACCACTTGCTGTACTGGGGGCTGAGGAGATAGGCACTTGCCCTGCACACAACCAAACTGGGTCTGATCCCTGGTACTACATATAGTCCTCCAAGCCCCACCAGGACTAATCCCTGAACAGAGCCAGGAGTAAGCCCTAAGCACCATTAGTTGTGCACCCCCCCACCCCCCAAAGGAAAGAGCACCATCAGCTGTGGCCAAAAAAAAGGAAAAAATTGAATCTTTACACTGCAAATTTTTTCTGACAAAAAGAGAATTAAGGTAGGAGATGAACTGAAATGTCTGCCAAATGGCTTTTTACAATGAAGAAAACTGAAGAATTACCTATGTTCTTTCACAGAGAAGCTTGGTACTCCAAATAAATCCCCCAGAAGATCATTTGAACAATACACAATATGCTGTTGCTTCTCATCATATAATCGTTTAGCCATAATATATTGACCAAGATAAAATATAACCTGAAAGAGAAATAGGATTTCTTAGCACTAAAAAATAAATAAACGTTAACTCCAAGCACATTTAATATCACATTTATCTAACGCAACTATAATCACTACTATCAGGGCTTCTTAAAATTTTTTCCACTTACAACCCTTTGCACCAGAGAAATTATTCCATAACCCCAGGTATAGAGGTTATCAACAGGTATACAAATTCAATATTTATGGCTAATAAAGCAGGAAGTCAGAGAAAAAATAAAGTGGGTCAGGCTCTTGCCTTGCACACAGCTGACTCAGGTTTGATCCCCAGAATTATACCATTCATGCCAACAGTGCTGGGGGTGATCCCTGAGCACCAGCAGGTGTGGTCCAAAAAAGTAACCACCTAATAAATCAGAGAATTTTGCAGTGAGGGTTGCCAATCTTGCTCTGCTCAGGGTTTATTCATGGCTCTGTGCTCCAGGACCACTCCTGGTGATGCTCAGGGAACCATCTGATATCACATGGAATTGTAATCCAGAGTTTCGGAGGTTACAGATCAAAAGTTCCCAAACATATTTGGCCTACTGCCGCTTCTTATTTATTTTTTAAGTATGTGGTTTTTATCTGGGTATTCCCAAAAGTGTTGGGGGGTGGGGGAGGTACTCCAACAGTATTTGGGCGATCCCCTTTTAAGGAAAAAAACTTTACTCAGTACTCCCCAAGAAATCTACCTTCTTTAAATAAACAATAAAATATGACCTCTGCCTCCCACCCTGAACTGCAACAGAATCCCCCGGATCTTCCCAGTATCCTCCAGAAGCAATGATGGCCACTTTGAGAAATAACTTATAATAACTTATAATAACAATCATATAATACACTTTTTTTAAAAAAGGAAGCTGCTTTCAAATCTTTTTTTTATGGCAAGGGATGTAGCTCAGGAGCAGAGCACTTTGCTTTGCACTTATGATGCCCTGAGTTCAATAGTTGGCACTGCAAAAATAAGTCAGATCTTGGGCTGGAGAAATAGCTCAAAGGGCTAAACGCATGCTGTGCCTATAGGAAGCCAGGGCTGGAGACCTCAGCACCGCAAGACCCCCCACAAGCACTGATATAAGCAACCCCCAGCACAGAATTAGGAGTAGCCCCCAAGCACTGGTGGATGTGGCCTCCAAATTAAATATTTTCCTTCTGATTTAATGGAAGTAAAGAAACTGCTTTTCAATTAACCTAAACAAACCTAAATAACCTAACAAACCTAAACTTTTTAAAAAAAATTATCGATGATGAAATAATCAAGTGAATGACTATATGTTCTCAATAAAATGTGTCATTTTATTTTAACTTCACCCAGCTATCAAAGTGCAAAATTGTAAAACCTTTCATAGCACTAGTAACAGGATCAAAAACACTAAAGTTGGCAGAATCAAAAATACCAATTGAAATATAGCAGTGACCAGTAGATATTCAGGTACTGGAAAACAACTTCAAGCACCATACACTTTTGAGGTGGTCATGGATGAGCAGAACAGGAAAATGACCAGTCACATGTATTACACACACTTGGGATAATTTAGTGAATGAAATAAAATCTATACAACAATAAAATAATCTTGAATACTGCATACAGTTTACTTTCTGTGGTCCATTTAGTAGACAGTATATTTAACATACAAATTTGCAACACCTAAATGCATTCGTCTTATAGTTAATACTTATCACGAGTATTGTCTCATTCTCATTTAGTATTTCATAAACCATCCATATTAGAAACAAGGAAAATAACCCAGTTTTGACACCTAGCATAATGCTCCCTAATTCCTCATTCTAGTTTTCAACACTCTTTAATGTGCCACAAAATAAAAGTTTCTCCAACTGAAATCAAATAATATTTATTATTGTTAGGTGTGTTAATCCTAAACCTTCTCAGTCCTTTATGACCAATTTTATCATCTTTTTAAATTAATATTTTTAACTGAAATAACATTATTTTTAACTGAAATAAAATTGTTATTCATTATATATTTAACTTATAATAGTTTTAACAGTTAAGTTTATGGTACGGAAAAACAAAATTACTGCACCCCAACCACCACCAACGTGTCTAGGACCCTCCATTACTCCTTATGTTACCTCTGTTTTTCTCCTTCAATTTTTTCATTTCTATCTAGTTCTAACTTCATATATTGTTTCCTTAACTGACTATACAAAAAGAACGTATCTGAGTTAAGAGCCTAAAAACACATTATTTAACATTATTACTTCAGTGCGGTTAGCAGACTTGACTGCAGTGAAACACAGGTTTCAGATTAAAGAAATGGCTGACGGTGGGAAAGGAGAATCTGAACACCTACCAAAAACTTCAAGTTTATAACTGTGCATCTGGGAAAGAAAAAAAAGGAAGGTCCTCAATTTCTTCCTACCTAACTATTCAGATGTAGATAAGGCATTATTGTTTTGTTTTACTTTTGCTCCCCTTTTCAGGGCCACACCTGGCAGTGCCTGGATGTTGCTTCTAGCAGTAATCAGGGACACTGAGGTGCCAGGGCTAGAAGGAGGGGCTCTTTCAAGCAAAGCAGGAGTGCCGGTCCTCTGTATCATCTCAATGGCCCAGTGTTTTAATCAATCTGAACGCCATAAACCAAGGTAAAGAGGTAGAAAATTGGCACCGATCACTCAACTCTTATGAAGCCTATGGGGAAGACAGCTCAAAGGGCTAAAGCATATGTGAAAGCTGATGGTTTGATTCTCCAAACCAAATAAATCCTCCCCGAACTGCGCAGATTAGGCCCTAAGAACCACCAGGTGTGGCCCTAAAACAAAAATAAATTAAGAGCCTGAAAGACAGCTCAATGATCTGAACACATGCTTTGCAAGTAGGAGGCGCAGAATCAATCTTCTGTAACACATGGAGTAGTTGGAGTTCGATCCCCAGTACCACACATTGCCTGAAACAGCCATAGTACAGAGCTAGGAGCAGCCCCAGAGTATTACCAAGTGTAGCCCAAAAACCTAAACATGAAACAAAATTTTGTCCAAGATGGCATGATCTCTCACTAAAAATTATGTCTGCAGCTTTTTCTTTAATTATGGATGTAGGCAACAAATCATTAAGTATTAGCAACAGTAATTTTTGTCACAAAATAAAAATTCCCAAGTGTTTTTGTATATTACTAAGCTGGGTATTAATATCTTAAAATAATTTGATAATAATATTTACCTCACTACTTCAAAATTAGATCAGCTGCTAAATCTTACACATTAAATTAAAAAGCACATACAAGTTAACTGTTTTAATCATTGTATTTTAACATAATGTTTCATTTGTAGTCCTCGGTGTTTTATTTCATGAATTTAAAAATAGGATTCTGGAAGTGGAGAGACCGTACAGTGGATAAGGTGCCTGCCTTGCATGCACCAAACAAACAAACAAAAAAGTTAAATAGGGGAACCACAGCATGAGGCTAAGGGAACAATGGATAGGTAGGAGAGGAGTCCACAGGAAGGAAAAAGGCTGAGAAACACTGGTCTAAATTACCCTGTATGAGCCAGAGAGAATTCAGATTTGTTTGTTAGTTTGGTTTGGTTTTTGGTCCACACCCAACAAGCAAGCTCCTGGCTCAGGATTACTCCTGGTGGGGCTTGATGGACAATAACAGATGCTGCCAGGATCAAACCTGGGTCAGGCAGCAAGTGCAAGGTAAGTGCCCTACAGGCTGTACTATAGATCTGGCCGGAGCCAGAGTGAATTCAATAGGCTGGAGCACGTGTTTTGCATGCAAGAAGCCCAGATTTGATTCCCAGCAGAGCATGTTCACCTGAGCATCAAGAGACCCCCTGAGAACTGAACTGAGAACAGCCACTGAGCACTGGTGTATATGGTACCCCCCAAAAATAAAAAAGAGAATAACTGCCAGTTCTTAAGATTGCTGGTTATTAAAAAATCCCTCCACGACAAATTTCTACTCATGACCACACACACACACACACACACACACACACACACACACACACGCAAAATCTATATATATGGAGAGAAATTAGCTTAATTCAGCTTACCTCTTTCATAGTATAAGTGTCTTTTTGTGCACCAACAGACTTTAACAACTTCAAAAGTAATGGCTTTGGTCTAACCTGTAAGGAACAAAAAGTTGCTATTAAACTTTCAAAATTATTTCAGAACTAAAAGTCCCATAAGTAAGTATATTCATAAAGAAACTGAATAAAGGTAGAAGACATCAAAAATAAGTCGAATGAGTTTTTTTGGGTTACATTTTTTTGTTTTGTTTTGATGAGGGGGAGACCATACCAGGCAGTGCTCAGGGGTTACTTCTCCACACTCAGAAATTACTCAGGCATTGCTGGGGCACCACATGGGATGCTGGAAATCAATCCTAGTTGACTATGTGCAAGGTAAGCACACTACCCACTATACTACTGCTTCAGCAAGTCATATTTTTAATTAAGTGTAAGAGATTATAAACTCAGTGCCATAAACTCAGTTTACAGAACTAAGAAAAATACTAGGATTTAGTTATGGAGTAAATAATCACAAAATCATCCATATGTCATCTGTTGCAATCAATATTGATGTAAACGTAGTGAAAAAAAATTTTTTTTCTCCACCCATTCCCTCATGCCAGCTATTCATTTGCTTTACTGCCTCATAAGCCATATGTGATGGGGAGATACAGATAGTACAGTGGCTAGGGCACATGCCTACCATACACTGGACTGGGGTTCAATCACTGTGTACCACATGGTCCGCCAAGAATCATCAGCAGCCCCTCGAGGCCCCCAAGTACTGCTGGGATAGCCCAGGAATTCTTCAGCACCACAGAGCCTGAGCAGAAAGAAATCCCTAGGCCCTCACACTAAACCATTAGGAACTGAACAGAGAATCACTGGTGGAGTGCCTGGGGCCCTCCTGAGGACCAGCTGGGAAGCCCAAAAGTTTAAATCTTTACATGAATCCTTTTACCAATCTTTTTCTAAAGTTAGGTATCTATAACCAAGCTCCCAAGATTAATAAGAGATCTGAAACACAACTCATTTCCCTCATCTCCAATCCCAATATTTTCTTCATTTTCTTTCAGTCACATTGCTACTTTTAGTTGGTTTACATTTCAAAATCTACTAACATTTATGGGCTTCTATTATGCATCAGATAGTACTATGGGTTACCCCCCCCCCCAAAAAAAAAAGCACCTGTATCCAAGAGCCAGTCAACTAGCAATTTTTTTTCTGCAAAATGTCAGATAGCAAATATTGTATGCATTTCCCACTAAATGATCTGACTTAGAATATATTATATGTAAACTCATGGGCAAAGCAGCATCTCAATAAAAGTTTATTTACAGAAATAAGCAGCAAGTTGAATTTGGTCCTTGGACTGAGGCTTGCCTGAACTGGGCATTTCAAAAAAGTGACAAAGAAAATAACTGACATGGGGACAAGACTATAATGTGCTTATGCTCTTTCTCCTTATCTGTTTCTATACTGAAATTGTCGATCTTTACAGCTTGTCATTCCTAAGTCTAGTGTTGCTATCACTCTTTGACAAATTTAATAGGATCCAACTTGAGATCTCTCAAAAGTAAATTTAAGGGGATAATGTGCATGCCTTGCATGCCTATCCCCCATTAATTAACTGAATTATAAAATAGTATAAAAATTTAAATACACAATGAATGTAGTACTGAATCATTGCTCAGATCACACAATTTTTTTTTAAAAATACCTCATGCTGTTTAACAAAGTCAGAAAAGATAAAAGTATTCTTTTTCTTCTGAAGTGTTATTATATAACTATATTATTAAAATGCTGCACTGCACTGTAGCACTGTAGTCCTCCCGTTGTTCATTGATTTGCTTGAGCAGGCATCAGTAACGTCTCACAACAAATTGTGAGATTTGTTGTTACTGTTTTTGGCATATCGAATATGTCACAAGGAGTTTGCCAGGCTTTGCCATGCAGGTGAGATACTCTCAGTAGCTTGAGCGGCTCTCCAAGAGGGATGTAGGAATCGAACCCGGTCAGCCGCGTGCGAGGCCTTACCCACTGTGCTATCACTCCAGCCCATTAAAATGCTATTAACTTCAAGTTATATAAACAACTCTAAGTAAAAATACGTAATAAAAAGTCAAATTTTTTAAAAAAATCTGAACTTAGGGTTGGAGCAATAGTACAGCGGGCAGGGTGTTTGCGTTGCATACAGCCGACCCAGGTTAGATACCTGGCATCCCATATGGTCTCCCAAGCACTGCCAGGAGTGATTCCTGAATGCAAAGCCAGGAGTAACCCCTGAGCATCACTGGGTGTGACCCAAAAAGCCAAAAAAAAATAAGGGGGGTGGACTGAAAAGACAAGTATCAATTAAAAATAAAAACATTATAAAAAAGAACCATTCTTAGTAATATCTAAGAATCAGAATATAAGCTAGAAATAATGGAGGGTCAGTGCTTGGCTCGACAATAGTAAAGTGCATTCCTTGCATACATGACACTTGGAATCAACTCCCAGCACCATTAAAAAATAAAAATACATTTGCAATAATCTTAGAAGTTCTTGCAAAGTATAACGAAACTATAAATTTTATAAATCCAGGGTGAGAGAGAGATGATACAGCAGTGAAGACACTTTCCTTGCACACAGCAGACCAGTCAAATTCCCAGCACCACATATGGTCCCTCTGAGCCATCCAGGTGATTCCTGGGCACAAAGCCAAGAGCAAACCCTGAACATCTGGGTATGACTCAAAAAAAAGAAAGAAAAAAATCCTGGGTAAGGCTCAAGAGGACACAACACCCATGGTCAGAAGGATAGCGGAGGAAATAAGGTGTTTGCCTTACATCCAACCAACCAGGGTTTGAATTCCCGCACCATGAATGATCCCTCCTTGGAGAAAACACTGAGCACCAACAGGTGTAGCCCTAACTCACACACACACAGACACACACAAGACCCAGGAGTTCCACTTCTATAAAAACCTGTTTTTACAGAAATATCCCTGTAACATGGGCTATAATTATAGCAAAGCAGTACTCTTTGCCACACGGAAAAACTAAAGACAATTAAAATAAAGCTATCAGAGGGGCCAGGCATTCAGCTCAGTGCCATGGCATTTTTTTTTTTTGGACACAAGGTTCCATCCTTGGCACTGCATGTTCTCCAGCACTGCAAGGGCTACTCCAGACAGGGCCAGGGGTGGCCAACAACCAAACAAGAATTTTTAAATCAAGATTCCAAAAAAAAAGAAAACCCTAAAAGAAATAACAGTAAGCTAAACAGTGACAGCTCAAATTAGGGAAAAAAAAAAAAGCCTACAAAAAAGCCACATAACACTGGTAGAGGGAAGGGTACTAGATCATTGTATAACTGAAACCCAAACACAAAAATTTGTAAGTCTACAACTGTACCTCATGGTGCTTCACTGGTGTTAAAAAAAAAAAAAGCCACATATTAAGCATAAAACTTCGGTTTCCCGTGCTCGAAAACGGATCAAGCTATGGAACTTTCTATTAAAATGCAGTGTGGGACAGGGGGAAGAAAACACTATCCTTCCGGTACTCCTAAGCTTTCCAAGGAGCTCCGAGGAAATCGAGATCTTTGGGACTGAATCGATCAACGCCCCCCACGGAAACCAGTTTTCCGAAGTCACACTGTAGCACACCCCCCCTTCTCCCCACCACCCCCCCATTACCAACCAGGGTCTCCTGCTCCGAAGCTGGAATCTGTGAGGTGCTTACAGCACCGTCAGTAGACACAGACATGCTGGTATTGCACATTTGCCTACAAAGCAGGGATGGGGGAGAAAGAGGAAGAAAAAAAAAAGAGAAAAAACACACACGATAAAAACTTGCAACCAAACATTTGTGGAAAGACACAATCACGGGGGGGGGGGGGGGAAAGAGGGGAAGGGAGGGAGAGGGGAAAGAGAAAAAAAAAAAGACACAAAAGAAGAAGTGACCGACCTCGGTGGCTCCAGGCAGGGACGGTCCCCTTACCTGGCTGGGTGCGGGAAGCCGCGCATTTAAATAGCCGCGACCCGCAGGCAAGCCGGGGCTTAGCTCCCCGGCGCTCGCGCTCGGAACTTGTCCGAACTTGACCCGCCGGGGCGGAACAGCTGAGTCAACCTGCCCGGGGCCGCCCGCGCCCCACTCTCGTCCCCGACAGGCACCTGTCATTCTCCCGAGCCCGACGCCGCGCCCCGCGCCCCCCGCCCACGTGACTGCCCCCAGCGGCGCCGCCCCTCCCCGCGCGCCGCCGAAGCCCCCTCCCCTCCCCACCGAGCGCCGGCTCCCCCCCCCAAACCCCGCCCCCCGCCCGCCTGGGTGGCCACCGCGGAGCCACCCACGTGCCCGCCCCCCACCACCACCGCCACCGCCACTCGGACAAAGGCGAGGGCGCGCGCGGGCCACAGGCCGGGATGCCCCCCACCCCACCCCCGCCCGCCCGAGCCCTCGCGCCCCCCGACCGCGCGCGCCCCCAGCCCTACCTGCTCCCTCAGCCCGCGGAGCGTCGCCGTGTCCCGAGCGGAGGGCGGGGGTTTCCCTCGTCGCGTTCCCCTCACCACAGGCCGCGCGGAGGCCGGACGCCCTGGGCCGCGGCCATCGTCGGCGCCGGCGGGGCCCGGGCCGCGGGTTTGGGGCGCTGGAAGAGGCGCCCGGCGAACCGAAGCGGACGGATTCTCGGTCCCAGAGGGCCTAGAGATGACCCTCGGGCTCGGCTTCCGGCCCCATTCCCGCCCCCCGCCCGAGCCTCCGAGGCGCCCCAGAGGAAAAGAGGGAGAGGAAAAGAAAAAAAAAAAAAAAAAAAAAAAGGAGCTAACTCAGCCCGGCCGCCCGTTGCGCGCCCCCTATCGTCCGCGGAGCGCGCGCCGGAAGCCGCGACCCATCCGGGCAGCTGCGCGCACGCGCGCGCGCCGCCGGCTCAGCCAATGAGCGGAGGGAACTGGGCCCCGCCTCCGGGGCGCGCGCGGGAGGGCGGGGCGCGCAGCCGGCCTCCACCCCTCCCCCCATCCCTTCCATCCCCCCCCCCCCCCCCGGGGGCCGGGGTTTACTCCGGTGTGGGATTGGGCCAGACCCGCGACTTTTTCATTCCTTGTGCTGCGTGTGTGTGCTCACACACCCCTCCCCCGGGCCGCGGTGGAAACTGCAGGCAAATGCGTTTCTCGGTGTCGCGACCGAAACAAGAAACCCAAACCCACACCTGTGCTCTCCGAGGAAGCCCATCATGCCGCCAGCCTCTGAAGTTGTATATACGTGACTTCATCCAACGCTTTTATTTTCTTTCTTAATTCTTTTTCTAAAAGTACTTTTCTTAAGGCACCACGATTTACAAAGTTGTTCATAAGAGTTGTTTCGGGCACAGAGTGTTCCAACAACCCCTGCCCTCCAAAACCCCCAGGTTTCCCTTCCCCCCTGCGGGCTGGCCTGACGGCTTTGCAGACACGTAACAGAGTCATTCCATATAGCTGGCTCCAACCAAGCAAACGACGAATGGAAATTAGCAGAAAATAAATCAGTAAAAAGTCAATTTTTGATGATTGATTGCCTTATGAGTTTAACCTCCCATAACCTACTAGAGGGCAACCGTGAGTACCATGAGTGTCATACTCAATTCAAAGCTTATTTTTTAAAATACGGTTTAAAAGTAGCACAGTATTAGGAGCATTTCTCCTGGAATTGACTGGAACCCCGACTTGGGGTGTGTAATATCTTTTACTTTATGAGGTGCTCTCCTTTTCTCTCAGATTTCCTAATAAAACTATTTTACTTTTCTAAAAATGAAAGCAATGCCTAGAGCGTAGAAGAGTTAAGGAATTTTCCTATTGCAGTCGCAGGCAGAGAGATACGGGAAGATGGGGGGGGGGGGAAGGGGAGGGGCTGGTAATTTGTAATGGGAAAAACACCGTCTACTGCTTACAACAGACCAAAGACAAGGAGGCCTTTGAAACTGATGACCCTTTGGAGCAAAACCTTTAAAGCGAAGAATGAGGCACCCCAGAGAGTATAGTAAGGTGCTTGCCTTGCAGGAGGCTGACCCAGCTTCAGTCCCTGTCACCTGTATGTTCCCCCAAACCCTGCCAGGAGTGATTCCTGAGTTCCTGGGCAGAGTAAATCCTGAGCACCGCCAGGTGTGGTTCCCCAAACCGATAGCACAGTGGGTAGGGCGTTTGCCTTGCGTGGGCCGACCTGGCCAACAGGAGTTTGATTCCTCTGTCCCTCTCAGCGAGCCCAGCAAGCTACCAAGAGTATCCCGCCCACAGGCAGATCCTGGCAAGCTCCCCTTGTCATGGAGTATTCGATATGCCAAAAATAATAATAAGTCTCACAATGGAGACGTTACTAGTGCCCACTCCAGCAAATCCATGAGCAGCGGGAGGACAGACAGTGCTACAGAGAATGAGGGATTAGGAACGATCCTACAGCAGGGAGGGAGGGCACTTGCCTTGCCCCTTGTGGAGTTCGATCCCTGGCACCACGTAAGGTCCCCAGAGTGACGAGGAGTGACTCCTAAGCACAGAGCCAGGAGTAAGTCCTGAACATGGCTGCAAGTGGCAAAAAAAAAAAAGATGCACAATGCATGGCTCTCTCCTGCTGGTAGGAGTTTTCACTGCTGAGACCTGGCTAAGAATGAACGTCTAAGACCATCAAGAGCACCTAGCTTTCCCCTTGGCTACCCTAGCAATTGGGGGACATATTGGGAAACTATATAAACTAACTTGGCAAAGGAAAAGAAGCGTTTCCCCATCCTGGAGAAGTGTCCCATATCTCAACTTGAGATGTGTGTTCTCAGTTCTCTTCATGCTGTCTCTGGAGCAGGAAACTCTCTTCCCTTATTTTCCAAGTAACCTTTCTTTGTTTTTTTTTGTTTGTTTGTTTGTTTGGCAGGAATGGGGGGGGGACACGTAATCATACCTGACAGGGCTCAGGGCTGTTTGCTGGCAGGACTTAGAGGAACATATGTGTGTGTTGGGGGTGATAGGTGGGAGAGGTGGGGGGAATCGAACCCAAGTGGGCTGCTCACAAAGCTAGGGTCTTACCCTCTGTACTATCTCTCTGTACTATCATCTCAAATAAATGTCAGAAACACTGCTTCCTGAATTCTTTTCTTCAAGGGACCTGGATTGCCTGGGGAGAATTTTGGATGCTATTTTCCTTTCATGAAAATAGCAGTTCTTTGCTCCAGCCTGAGTGCCACGATTCCCCCAAGGAATCAAGTAGCAGAGATCATGTCTCAATTCAGGTAGAGCAGGTATGACTCAGATGCCAGCGGGAGTTGGTGAGACACTGTAAGGTCTGTAGCACGCACGTGCTCCTGCTTGGAGCAGAGTCTCAGCCATTCTAAACTTCCCCAGGTACTCCCCAGGAAGACCTAGGGGGATAAAGAGGAAAGGAGGCTTCCCTGAAGGATGCTGCCTCTTTCCTTCCCACTTCATGTAAGTTACCCCATGATACCGCCAGCCCGAACTGGATCACTGGCATCACCAAGCACTTCCAGGAGTGACCCCTGAATATTGCTGGGTCTTGCCTCAAAGTAGAAAATACAATTAAAAACAAAGATAATGTAATACATGTTTGTACAGGCATGGATACAAGTGTGCTAGCTGCACAAGAGTTATTTTTGCCTCTGTAATACTGATTAATATTGAAATAGTACAGAAGTTGATTTTCATTTTAAGTTTTTAAAATGTTTGAGTTTAGCAGGGATGTGGCTCATGATAGAAAGTCTGAATTTGTTTACTATCTATGTATCCATCCCCATTAAAAGTATGTAATTAGCTGGAGTGATAGTACAGCAGGTAAGGTGCTTGCCTCGCACACTATCAACCTGGGTTCAATTCCTGGCTCCCTCTCTGGTTCCCTGAGCCTGCCAGGAATAATTCCCTGAGTGCTGAGCGAGAAATAAACCCTGAGCACTGCTGGTGTGGCCCAAAGTATAAAATAAAATAAAACCAGTTTTTTAAGAGAGAGAGAGGGAGAGAGACAGAGACAGAGACAGAGACAGAGACAGAGTTTACTGGTCAGACTAAATCAGTGGGAGTCTCCAGAGAGAGACACCCTCTTACCCTCTTGATGCAGTTTGGGGAGTCTTATTGGATACCTCTGGGCTATGTATGGGGAAGCTTCAGCTTTCAACAGATTAATTCATTCTGGGTAAGCGGGAGACACACAGCCAATTCTGGGAAGGGAATGAGTGGAGTGCATATAAAATATTCCAAGCTGAGGGCTGGAGAAATAGTTCAGCGGGAAGGATGTCTGCTGCATGTGGCTGACCTGGGTTTTATCCCTGGCACCTTATATGTTCCCCCAAGTCCCCAAGTCCTCCAGGTGTGATCACTGAGTGCAGAGCCAGGAGTAAGCCCTGAGCACAGCTGGGTGTTGCCCCAAAACAAAACAAAACAAAATGTTCCAGGTCAATCATGGGAAGGGAGTAAGGTTGTAAAATAAATTGAACCTATTTCTGGAAGAAGAGACTGGGCCAATTCTAGGAAATAAGAAACAAAACTGAGTGACAGGGTGGCCCCTTGTATGTCTTGGGCGGAACTGATTATGTTGGTGGGAAAGCACAGCTGATGGAACTAGCCAGGGTGGTCTGAGCCTGTAAGGCATCTTAGACATGGGAACTAAATGAGGCGTCTTTTTAGGGGGTCATGCTAAGCCACTTCACATTGATTAAATTGTCTCTCTGGCCCTGGTTAGCTTTAAAAAAAATCAGATATTGTAAAGTGTCTGTTTATAAGAATCCAAGATTGATATAGGATAATAGAAAATCTCAAGAAGAAAATGAGTAGTGTAAAAATCTTGCATATATTAATTTATTAAGTGAACAAGGTCTTCACTGTAGGGGGTATGGCAATATTGCTTGTGAAGGCCTTGGCCATTCACCAAGGCTGAGGAGAGATCAGACAATTTTTACCTAGAAGAGTGATAGCTTCGGGCTAGCACAGTGGGTAGGACGTATGCCTTGCACTTCGATTCCCAGAATCCCATATGGTCCCCTGAGCACTGCCAGGAGTGATTCCTGAGTGCAGAGCCAGGAGTTAACCCCTGTGCATCACCCGGTGTGACCCAAAAAAAAGGGGAAAAAGAAGAATGATAACTTACCCCAAAAGTTCAGGAACCATAAATGGCTTTTGAGGAAAAATTTAAAAATCAGTTTAACTTAAATTTTAGAAAAAGAAAAAAAAATTAACTTGGGATTCCTAAATGCCAAATAAGAGTGTTTGGGTTTGAACAGAATTGGGCCGACTGAATGACAACTAATTTGTAGACTGAACTACAGACTGAACTACAACTACAACTAATTCAGCCCTGTCTGAACCAATTTGTCCCTTTCTCACTGGACATTTTGGTTGTTATTATTTGATTTGTTTGTTTGTTTGTTTTGTTTTGAGGATCATGCCCAGCAGTGATGCTGGCTCTTGGCTCAGTGCTCAGTCCTGGTAGGGCTAGAGGGACCATAGAGGATTCCTGGGATTGAAACCGGGTCAGCTGCATGTGAGGCAAATATCTTACCTTTTCCAGCCCCTGGACCTCTATTTTGAATAGAGAATGGGATGTTTTATCTTAGCAGAATTAGTGGAACAGAAACAAAAGACAGGACTGATAAAATGTGTCCTTTTCCTTCTTTTTTTTTTTTTTTTTTTTTTTTTGCAGGAGGAGTTGATCAGGGAGACTGTTGAGTCACATCTGGAGGTTTTCAGGAGTTACTCCTT